ACCAAGAAGTGGCAGGGGGTATGAATGGCCAAGGCTTATGGTGCTGGAGAAGGTGAAGGGACACCTGGGCCTGGGTGGGCATGCTCTGCTCTGAGCAATCCCAGGCACTGGCAGCTCCCTCCTCATTCACCTATGCAGCACCTCTGTAAAGGCGAGTAGGTGGCCCTCTGAGCTCTGCAGCCCCATGTGTTCTCGTCTGGCACTGAGTAGCCCGTGGTATGACCCAGAGGGGGAGCAGCATCCCAGAGGCAGAGTTAAAGGCCACCGTGTGTCTCTGTATGGAGGTGGAGAAGGCAAGCAGGGCCAGGAGGGAAGCAGGGTGAGAGACAGAGGGTGTCCCATTTCTGGGACATGGGATGTCCTGTCCAGATGGGACTGAGAAGTGCTCCTACCCTGACAATGCCCAGCCCAGACTCTGGTTAACCACATGCCTTCTTCTTTGCCTGGTGCTGGGCCATGACCTCAGATGCCCTTGACCTTCCTGCTATGATGCTCAGTCTGGGCAGCATTGGCTGGTCCCCACTCTGCCTGCTGCTGTCCATCCTCCATGGCCCTAGGACATCACTGACCTTTGACATTGACCCTGAAGCGCCGGCTGTCTTGACCACCAGACGTAGACACGCGGCATTCCCAGAGCCCACTGTCCCCAAGAGTCAAGCGTGGCACCTCGAACTCGGCTGTAGTCCTATCTGGCTCCACAATGGCCTTGGTGGACTAAGAGAGAGAGAGGAAGGGGACAAACCACAGACAATGTGCATCTATGTGGCAGATACACTCCTGTCTGGACTGACGAGGGGACAGAGGCCCAGAGGCAGCCCCTCAACAATCGGCCTGGCAACATTAGAGCTGTGGTCAGGCTAGTGCGTAGATCTTGCAGAGAGCCTTGAAGGGCCAGGGGTCTGAGGGACCAACTGGGAAGCTGGCGATGGGGGGCCCTGCTTGGGGTCATGGGCTGACCAGCAGGACTGTGCCGTCTGGCTTGCGGAGCTCCATGCTTCCCCGCACTGGGAAGGGGTTCCCTGCGGCTGCACAGTTGATCCGGGGCATTGTCTCCAAGTTGAACTCCAGTTCTGAGGCTACGTCCAGGATCTGGGGGATCCGGTCTGGGGAGAGAAAGGACACTCGTCCTGGAGCCACAGGGGCAGTCATGTGACCACCAAAGTGTCCTTTGTCCTGTGTCATTCGTCTCGGTGGAGGCACCGCCATCTGACCAGTCACTCAAGCCTGAATGCCAGCAAAGCCCTGCGTGAGTCCTCGAAGGCCCTCGTGCCCCACTTCTGATTAGCTACAGAGTCTACCTCCTGACTCTTCACCTCCTAAGACCTTTTCATACTGAAACCAGTGCCATCACTAGCCTCAGCCTCATGGCCAGGACACCGGTTCAGGCCTCATTCGTTTCTGGGTCCTGCCACGGCTCATCCAGGATCTCCATTCCACTCTCCACCCAGCAGCTGGAGTTTTTTCTCATACATAAATCTGACCGCTTTGTGCCTCTTCAACAATTCCTTCCTGCCCCTACCATAATAAGTGCAAACCATCTGTGCTGCCATTCGAAGTCCCCAAGATTTGACCTCTCCTGACCACTCCCCAGCCTCCCTTTATGCCACTGTCCTGGTACCCGAGCCTTCGCTCATGCTCTTTCCCCATCCACCTCTCTCTTGTTCTTCATATCCCATCTCAGATCTCGCCTTTTCCCAGAAGCTCTCTCTGACCCTCTCAGACTGGTCAGGGCCTCCTCTGGGCTCCCACCCACTCTGGGCTGCTGCTCATCTCTCTGTGGATGGTGTGGGCTGGGTGGTGAGAATTCCTTTCAGACCATGAACTCCCTGGGGCAGGATTTAGAGCATTAACAGAGAGATGGTGAGGGCTGGCTTGTCTTGAGGGATCTGAGACCCTTGTGTTCATACCTGACTTCTCACAGTGCACTCCATGCCACCCAGAGGGGCAGACACAGCCACTGAAGCGGTCACAAGTGCCACCATTCTGACACTGGCACTGGAGGCGGCAATCAGCCCCAAAATGACCAGGGGCACAGGCTGAGAACAGAGTAGGCATAGTTAGAGGGGCGCAGGTCAGAGGGCAATGAGGGCAGAGCTGGGGCCTGGATAAAAACGGGTTGGGTGGAGAGGGCACTGGTTAGGTGAGCAGGGTGCTGTGGAGGGCTTGGTGTGCAAGTCAGGGTCAGAATAAGGGTTCGGGTCAACCTTGGGCTGGCTCTCTGGGTCAGGTACCGTGGAGGGTAGGTTAATGCGTACCTTCTTGGCACTGGCTTCCTCTCCAGCCAGACCCACAAGAACAACCATAGGGATCTGGGAGGCAGAAGGTGAGGCCCCAGCAGCCTGACGTGCCTGGGCACTGTTCCTGGCAGCTCTGCCCAAAACGGCCCTCTCTGCAGGCTGGAAAGAAGGTATGTGGGGCTAGGGGCCTCTGTCAGGCCCCAGGGTCAGGGACCTACTTGGCATTCTCACCCTCCGAGCTCTATCCCATGGTTAAAGGGTCCTCCCTCAGCCGGGCATCCTCTCCTGCCTAGGTCCTGGCTCCCCCTTCTCCTTACCCTGCTCGCAACGGGTACCAGTGAATCCAGGGGGGCATACACACTCGCCATCCTGGTCATGGCAGACACCTCCATGCAGGCAGCCTGGGCATTCCTTGGTACAGCTTGGTCCCCAGCGTCCTGCCCCACAGCCTGGAGGAATGTGCTTTTAGCAGCTGACCCTCACCCACCTGACCACTGCTGCTAAGGACTGGGGCAGCCCTGGGGACCCAGGGATCTAGGAGAGCCACAGGAAGTACCCACAGGGCTCCCAGCCTCCCACACCACCCACCACTGCTGCTCTCTGCCCCTAACCCCGCACGATGAGCCGAAAGAAGGCACTGCCCAGGGGGCTGGTTTCCAGGTAGGTGGCACTGTAGATGCCACTCGATGATGGTTGCACGTTTGGGAGCTGCAGCAGGAACCGCCCATCTTGGGCTTCATGCCAGTCCAGGGTATAGAAGTAGGATCCTGGGGGCATAAGAGGATCAAGGGCCTCAGCACCATGTGGGAACTGGTGTCCCCTCCCTCTGGCACCTTCCCCCAGATCCAATCACAATGTGTGGCACACATTGATGTGACCTAGGCAGAAGTGAGCAGAGGGAGGGGACACCAGTTCCCACATGGTGCTTCCCACTCACTTCTGCCTAGGTCACATCAATGTGTGCCACGCATTGTGATTGGATCTGGGGGAAGGTACCAGGGAGCGTTTGTACCCAAGTCAGAAAGCTGGGAAACATCCTCTCTCCGTGCTCCAGCAGCCGCTCAGTAAGTCACCGGTCCTGCTCAGTCTGTCTCCTCTCATCTCCTGAAGTGTCCTCTTCTCTCCATGCCCACTGCCACTTGCCACCCTGGTACCCACCTCCCACAGCCTTCTAAGTGGTCAGTCTCTCTGCTTCCAGTCTCCCCTTTCTCATCCACTCTCCACTCAGCAGCCACTGTGTTTTCTCTGCAACAGACTCCGCTTAACCTCTTCAATAGTTCTCCACTGCCCTCATGACCACATCCAACTCCTGAGCACATCATTTTCGCCAGTTCGGCCACTGCCTAGCCCTACAGCCCTATACCTCTCCACATCCTGTCTGACTCCTAACATTCTTGAATTCCTGAATTGCTGGTTTCTCTTCTAGAAACACCAGGGTACTTCAGAGCTTCCTGCCTTTTCTCTCTCTCCTTTGACTAATTCCCACACCTCTTTCTGGGCTCAGTTCAGGTGTCATCTGCTCGGGGATTTCTCCAAGGAGACCCTCCCTCCAGGACTTGCAGGCCCTAATAGTAAATGAGTGTCCCTGTCCCTGCCCCTGTCCCACCCTCTCCTTGCCTCTTTGCTCAGGACTTCACAGACTCTAGGGAGCCCAGGTCTACCTGACTATCCACATCTCTGGGCAGTTCAGAGGGCCTGGAGCTCAGGAGGCAACCCCTTGGCCCAAGGGAAGTGTCTTCCTCCTCCAGGAGCCCAGGGATGCAAGAGGCAGCCAAAAGGCTGTGAGTCTCAGGGCTGAGGCAGGAGTCTTTGGGGCCACAGAGGAAAACAGCTTCCTCCCATGGGGTGACCAAGCTCCCCAGGTTTGGTAAGGCCCCAGCACACATCTGGACAGATTTCCAGAAGAGGCTAGACTTCCCCTACCTGTGCTGGGACTTTGTTAACAGTTCTCTTCTTCCCCATGGGGATCGTTACTCCCCACTATGTGAACTATGTGACAGCACCTGCTAGCTCTCAGGGGAGAGTCAAAGATGAGGGTTTAACATAATGCTGATTTGGGGGTGACAGGGAAGGAGGTAGCTGATCACAAAGCTGCTGGTCCTCTGGGTGCATCTCAGCTCAGAGCTAGAGATGGATGCAGGTGCATCCCATGGACCTGGTCCAGAACGGTGGGGACCCTGGAGGTTAGCCAGGGTGGGTAACAGGTGTATGGGAGTGACAGGTGTGTTAGGGGCCAAAGCTGAGGATGTCAAGGGCCATGGAGGTATTGAGTGTCAGATCTATGGGTTCACTTGCCCTGCCAGCTAGGATGCCCCTCTCACCGTTGCTCTTCCAGATCACATCTGTCTGCTTCTCCTTGCGCACACGTGCGGAAAGCACAGCCGTGTTGCCTTTGTTCACTGTGTGTGTAACCTTGTCCGGGATAAGGTGGGCTGCGGGGTGGACGAAGGGTGGGGTCAGAGGTTAACGGCAGCCCTTATTCTCCCTCCTGACCCGTGGGCCAGACTCACCTCCAGGGCTGTTGTGCACGTAGAGAACGCGCGTGCGCCGCGCCCCTGCGCCGCCCACGCAGGAGAAGACACCCACCAGGTCCGAGGGCTTCGAGAATCCGCTCAGCGTAATGCGCTGCGAGCCGTTACGGGTCAGCTGCGGGGGCAGCCAGGGCCGGGGCGTGCGCACGATGCGGTCGTCCTTCTCCAGCAGCAGGGCGGTGCCCCAGGCGTCTGCGCCCCTGCCGGTGCTCGCCTCGCCAGACACGCAGGTCAGGAAGAACCTCTGCGGCTCCGTGCGGCGCAGGTCGGCCAGCAGCGTCAGGTCCACCGCTGCGCCTGGCATAGAACAGCAGTCCTTGGATCTGACGGGGTCCCCGACCTTCCTCCTCCTTTCCCTCCTCTTCCCCCCCATCTCCAGGCTCTGCCCTTGGCAGGTATTTCCGTCCTCCTCCCTTCTCGTCCCTTTCCCCTTCCCGGTGCATTGGCCCCTTTCTCTCAAACCTCTTCATCCTAAAAGAGCAAAAACAAAAACAAAGTCCCCTTCTCTGGCCTCACCCCGCCCTTCTCCTGCCAGATGGCTTCCCTTTGCAGCCCAGCTTTGGAAAGAATGATCTATGCTCCCTGTCTCCGTTTCCTTTTTATTCCCCACCAGTCCGGTTTCCCTGACCTGTCTTTCAAACTGCTCTGCCAAGGGAAGCCACTCTCCCTGGCCCCCATCCCGAAGGAATAGGCTGGGAGGGCCACAGAGAATAGAGTGCCTTGGAAGGACCCCTCCCTGTCACTTAAGACATTTAGACATGTTTGCTGTGCTTGGGATTTAAGGCGGGAGAGGCTGGGTTCTGCAGCCAGGTGGTTGAGGCACGGAAAGGGAGACAGCTCTGGGCCCAGTGAAAGGCCAGAGACAGAGAGCGCAAGCCTTGAGGTCTCTTCTTTGTTTTCCTAAGAGCTCCCAGCCTTGGCCTTGCTGGAACACAGACATGGACACGTCTGTCAAATGCAGGGCACCACAGAGGATGCAGGGGAGCACAGAGGATGGGTCCCTGACCCATAAGGGGGTGCTGCAGGGGATAAAGAGATGCCTTCTGAGAGAAAAAGAACCCCCTGGAAGGTCTTAAAGCTGAACAGGACATAGAAGGATGAGGAGAATGGGGTTGGAGAGAGGTAGGAAAGGGCATTCTTCACAAAGGGCACAGCCTGACTTAAGAAGTGGAATGAAAAATATTATGAATATAAAAATATTCCGTGTGGCTGGGGCATACAGTGTGAGGCAGAAGAGTGGTGAGAGAACGAGAGCTGGAGTCCAGGCCCTACTGTGCTGAGCCCTTCCAGACTCTTCAGCCCCGTGACCCCTCGCCCTTCTGAGCCCCTCCTTCTCTGTCCCTGCCTATTAGCTGTCAAATAATTAGTTTAAATGCCTCCTTAGCTTATCAATTAATATTCTTTGAAAGTCTACCATGAGTCAGTGAAGCTAGCATTTGCTGACCACCTGCCATTTGCCAAGCACCTGATTTTCAAGGGATCCTCACACCCTTCAGTAAAGTTGCTGTCTTTCCATACAGAGGAGGGTAATCATTATTCTACAGGCTTCTCTGAGAGAGCTCATCCACTCCCTTGGCTTTAACTATCAACTCTGAGTCAATAACCCTAGGATACCTTCTCAGCTTGGGTCTGCTTGTCCATCAGCTTTCCCCAAACCCGCTGCTTTCCAGTGCTCCCTGACTCAACGGAGGGTCAAATTTCGGAGTCATCTTGTACTCCTACCTTCACAATAATTAATGTTTATTGGAGGTCAATCGTATGCCAGGCACTTTATTCATGTTTCTTTTTATCATCCTAACTATCTGGCAAGGTGGGTGTTATTACCCTGATTTTATAGCCAGGGAAGGAAGGCTCCGAGAAATAGCTTGCCCAAGGGCATACAATTAGTAACCGGCAGAGCCAGGTTGTCTGACTCTAAAGTCCACACTTTTAAGCATTATGTTGGCTGCCCTAATCTGTCACAAAATTCTGTAGGTTCTGTTTCCTCAAAGCCTCTTGACTTTATCCCCATCTCCAAGCCCGCCCTTGCCGAGTCCTCGCTCTTCCTCACCTCGACCATCCCTGCATCACACCCCTCCTTCCTCACCTCATCCTCCAAAGCGATCCCTCTAAGACCTTGTGACTCTCAAGTCTACAACTTCTCATGGCTCCCCGTTGGCCTCAGAATAAAATGCATGCTCTCGAGCCCCTGCTGCTCACAGCTGTCCTTCCTGCTGCGTTCCCTCCGATGCGCTACCCTGCCTCTGAGATTTTCATCTATTTCTGGATGCCTGGAATGAAGACCACTGCTCTTAGAGAACCCCCTTCTCACATACTGCCTGAGGTGGGGTAAGCTGACTCCTCCTCAGTACTCCTCTGGAGCTCCTGTGCCTGTGTGGTTAGGCCTCACCCTGTGTCCTGTATCCTCCACTGGACTGTGAATCACTCAAAGGCAGCTACTGTGTTCTAATCTTCTTTGGCCAGCACACTGAAGGAATCAGCTACCACTTACCTAGAAGCCCTTACCAAGTGCCGGGCATTGTGCCAAGCACTCTGTAAATTACCTCATTTAAACCCCATAACAGCCATAGGAGGTCAGCATCATTTAATTTCACTGTGCAGATCTGGAGGCTGCCTGCCTCTCAACTAATGGTCCACCACTTAGCACAGTTCCTGGAATATTGTTGGTTCTTGATAAATGTTTGTCAAGTGAATAATTGAATGAATGCAACACACTGACCATATGAGCACCCACTGAAAACTTCACGGGGCCCATGGGTCCTGCTATTCCCCACTGATCTTAAGATCCAACACAATCAATAGCGGCTCTTCTGCCTTCCCCTCCTCCAAACCCAGGCTGCAGTGATTTCTAGCATCTGCTTAGGTTTTCCTGGCCCTGATCTGACTTTCCAGCTCATCAGGGTATGGATGAAAGTGATGGCAGTGATGATATGGTTTACCCTCCTTGGAGGTTCGGTTGGGGCTTGGCTGGAGGGGAGACTTACCAGCATGAGAAGCCAGGAAGATGATGGGAAGCAGCAAAGGGAGTCCCAGCCAGACCATACTCCAGAGGCTGACCAGGCCAGCCAGGACAAGGTAGGCCCACAGTCAGTGACTCTGGGTCTGGCTGCTCAGCCTGTAGTAGTCAGTGTATGTTGGTGCTGGGGAGGAAGAGGAAATGAGGTGGCTTGGGTGGGAGGGGTGGCAGGGGAGAGAGGTGGGAAGGACTTATCCTGCTTCTGGGCCTCTAGGCTCCCCAGTGTGATTCCCAAAAGACTGGGAATTTGTTTGACTTCAAAGACCCTGGAATGGGGTCAAGAGTGGTGGTGGGGAGGTTGTGGGAAGGACAGACCTGGGGCTTATTGGGCTGATTTTTCCATCCCCTCTTTTCCCCTCTGTCCTGAGTCTTGCCAACACTCAGGAGACAGGAGACAGGAAAGGGAGGAAGCCACTGGCTTCCGCCTATTGAGGAGAGATGGGGGGAGGATATTGTTCTGGGGTCTCCCCTCCCCCTCAGCACATACACACAATATGACCCACATGATTCCTCGTGTGGTTCTCAGGACAGTTACATAGGTGTCCTAGAAAGCTGTTCACATATGTAACGAGGATCTGTGTGGGCCTGCGCATGTGCACGCTCAAAGGAACAAAAGAACTCACACTCAGTGCAAAAAAAGATCTTCCATTCCCAGTTCTATCTTGTGTAATTCTCTCTCTCATTTAATGGCTGCAAAACCAAAGCGTGCTGTGCTTGAGGGCAGGCTGAGGTCATGGCAAAGCTGGGGCTCGAACTTCTGATTCGGTCGCTCCTCACAGGGAATGTGTTAAACAGACCCACGGAGTCTTGTATTATAATACTCAGCCAAAGCCACTAACAGAGGCTTCAGCTCTTTGTCTGCCTGATGTCATTCATTTTATAGCAAACCCTGCCTGTCCCTGGGTACTGGGGCAGCAGAACCCAGTGAGTGCTGCAGGGAGTGCACTCACTCTTGAGGGCTGACAACAGCTCGTGGGCAGTCCCAGCCCTTTGGCAAAGTCTCCAAACCCCATAGTTCTTGCCTTTGCTGTGCCCCCTCATCTCTCACTGCCTTGGCACCAGTGTTCCAACTGGTGCCACCAGTGACAGTTTCTAGAACGGATCATGATCTGCAGGTACGGAATGCCTGCAGGATGTGTGTGTGTGTGTGTCCGTCCTTGCAGGGAGCAGAGTGAGAAGTCTTGGAGCCATCAGATGTCTGGAGCTTGCTGGTGAAGTCTGTGGCCCCTTTGGCCTGGAATGGATAGTTAGGGTGGGGATGAGACCTGGCGCCAGCTTAAGTGACTCGGGTTTAGAAGTCCAAGGCCTCCCTTTTGTGCTGAAATAGCTTCCCCAAGTCTGTTTCTGGGTGAAGGCTGGACTCTTCTTTGCACGTGTCAGGCTCTAATTCATTGACCTGGGGAAGTTGGGTCCCCATAGCTTGGTTAAGCTGGTTTAGTCCTGGGGCTCTTCTGAAAATCCCTGAAAAGTCCAGGAGAGACTTTGACTCCTGGTACAGCACGAAAAAGGATCACTCTACAGGCCCTCAGACAACCCATTCCTAGGTCTGAGGCTTGGAAAATCTTTCTTCAGATAAGACTTGGGTGGGAGTGGGAATAAGAATGGGGGTGTGTGTGGTTGATGCCTTAGACTTTAGCTCATCTTGGTGACAAGATCTTTGAATCCAGTATGAGAAAGGAGCTGGGAAATGCTAGGGCAGTTTGTCTGGCAGGATTGTAGGCAGAATATTTTTGTGGAACTATTGTTTTGTTTCTGGGAAAAACTGGTGGGCCTGATGTCATTTTGGCAATGTACATAGAACCCTTGGGCAATATCCTTTCTTCTTGAAAATGACACAGATAACTGGCACAGGTGTTTGCTCTGAATGAAGTTTGAGACTGTGACCCCATGGCACACGCAAAAGACTCCAGGCCCGTCTGCCCTCCGCGCTTTCAACTGGGAAACAAAACTCGATAGTAATGATGTGTAGATAAATACAGTGCAAATATTGCAGAGTTCGTATACAAGGATTTATAGTATAAAACAATGTCCTATAAGTGTAAAAATATATTTTTACATGTGTTTGGTTATGCTGAGAGTAATTTGAATAGCGCCTGTTTACAAATAACATGTCACCAATGAAATATCACCACACAAATTTTGAGTAGTTTGTGTATACATTAGCTGTTGCAGTACGAATACTTAGACCATAATGCATATCTTAAAGTCTCAGTCACTGGAAAACTATAGGTCAAAAATAATGTTAATGCAGATAAGCAGTTCTACACATTGTAAGGCCAACCCTCAAACTGAAAACAAATTAAATTGATAATGATCACACTAAACTAATTTTTTTTTAAAAGCAAAAATAGCAGCATAAGCAACTTTACACAAGACTGATAATTCACTGCTAAGGAAGCCACCTTGCTGCAAATAGTAGGAATTCCAGCTGTCAGCACGTGGGCACGTGCAGTTTTGTCAGGTTGCCAGGGGGTTCAGGGTACCTGGGCTTCCTAGTGGAACACTGAAGTCGAGATTTTAGTGACTTCTACATACCAATTTTAGTTTCCAAATGCCAAATTTTAGGGACCTTCAATTTGAAGGTTACTAGGAAGAAGCCTGCAGTTGGACCTAAAAAGGAAAGGTAATGAAATTAGTTATCATTTGCCCGTAACAACTGAAAATAGGACCTGTGTTTTGGAACTCCCTGAGACCCACCGGGACAGCCTCATGGTCCACCGTGGGCTGTAGAGCTAAATAGGTCTGTGTTTGCTCAATGGTGTCAGCTGTTTTGAATGATAGTGAAAATTATTGTGTATTTTTCATAGCTAATCTATAGATTGGGAGCTGCTTATTTTGGAGAAGTAGTCTGTCTTGGTCTCTTTGGGCTATGCCATAACAAAACACCAGACGGGGTGGCTTCTAAACAACAAACGTTTATTTCTCACAGTTCTGGAGGCTAGAAGTCCATGATCAGGGTGCCAGCATGGTCAGGTGAGGGCCCTCTTCCAGGTTGAAGGTCTTCACATGGTGGAAAGGGCAAGGGAGCCCTCCTGGGCCTCTTTTATAAAGGTATTAATCTCATTCATATGACCTAACCACCCCACAAAGACCTCACCTCCCAATTCTATCATATTAGGCATTATAATTTCAACATAGGAATTTTGGGGGGACACAAACATTCAGACCATAGCATTGTCCACTAGGACCAGGTTAACGAAACCAAGGTGGGGCATTCTGCAGCTTCAAAGGAACCCATGCCTGCCTGCATGTGTTTTCCAAGCCCCTCCTATGAGTGCCAGACCCTGTGCCACAAGCTGAGGATACACTCATGAGGAGGACAGACTTTGTGCTTTGATATATTTAGCCTGAAAGGCAGGAGAGATCCTTTCATGGCAGACACCCGAAGACTCAAAGCTTCAGGGCATTTGTCCAAAGAATGAGAACCAATGTACTTTTGCGGGCAAGACCCACATTTTACTGGGGTTCCTCTTAGAGACTCGGTATATGATTTAATGACACACATGGTGATGTCTGATCCATACAGAGTTTCCTTTGGAATGATATTTCTTTTAGGGGGGGGCGTCTAAGTTTCAGAATAACAGCTGCAGAAGCGTAGGAAAGTATACGGAAGCTATGATTTGGCCATAACAATGCACAACCCTGATTGTTTTTTCTTTCTTTGCATGTGCTAGTTATTGCATGTGCTAATAATTAGTGTAAGAAAAATGATAAAATAGAAGCTGTCTTTTCATTTTCCATTTTGGAGAGACATAATTAACCTCTTCAGCCACCCCACTACACACATGCGCGCGCGCGCACACACACACACACAGTGTGTGTGCACACACGATGCCCAGCTCCTGCCCAACTATGATGTGTGTGCCTCCTCAGTGACTGTTACATTCTTTTCATGGCTTCCTGTACCTTTCCATTATGTAACCATCAACTTCCTTGAAATACGTGGCCAATATTGCCTACTGGACAGTGAACTCCGTGTGGGCGGGACCACACCTGCAAATAATTGACAACACTGCAAATAATTGGCTCTCAGTAAATAGTTGGCAAAAAATAAATGTGTGTTTGTTATGATGTATCATGACAGGGAAAGGCATGGGCAGGGTCTAGGTCTTTTTTGAAGAGAATTTCCCGTTTCCATCATCCCAGAAAAGGTGGTCCCCTCACAGGAATCTAGCAGTGATTGGCAGCCTCAATCAGAAGTGGATTCATTCCTGGTGGAGACTGTATGGGCAGATGCACTGATGGCATGAATATTCATGGGGATTCTCTATCTGATGATCCAGGTTGGGTTGGGGAAGAAGTGAAACCAGAAGGGGAGGGGTAAATGCCTGAACTTTGAAGTGATTCTCTTGGAGAAACGTTTCTTCTCCAGGAATGGGTTACAGGAGGAGCAAGAATTACCTGCTTCAAGGCTACAGACAGGAGAGGTGGAGGAGCAGTCTAACGCAGCTCCTCAAGTCATATTGACCAACATGTGGTCCTACCATTCATGCCTAAAAGGCAGCTCTTGCCATGTTTTGTTTGAATTCTTTAACATCTGATCTGGTCTATATGAGTCCATTGGTCATGCACTTGGATGTTGCAGCAACATCAATTTGCTATAAAAGTTTCTGAATGCTTACTCTCAGTTTTTGTCCTTGTCTCTTTGTAACAGTTTTTAGACTAGTGCTGGGCCACTGGCCACCTTCTGAGTAGCACTCATCTAATGGCGTAAAGGACAAAGAAGGTTGGGGGATGGATGGCTGACATCAGAGCCAAGGTCTGAATCTGAGAGTTATAGCATTTCCGGGTTGTGACTGGGTCTATGGCTGTGGGAGGGGCAAGGAAGTGAAGGTCAAAAGGGATGGAGAAGTCTTACAGTGTTTTGAAGGACCACCTATAAGGATATGCTCCTTTTTCCCCCCTCACTATTCAGAACACATTGTATCTTTAGATGCGGGCATATAAAGACTCTGCACTGGGCCTTTTCAACCCAGGCCTTCCTAACTTGTGTATCATTTGCATGGTGGTGGTGGCAACACAACAAGAAAGACCCTTAAACTAAAATGGAATTTTGTCTTTTCTACAGAGTGATTCTAGTTCTCATGGCATGGTGATGGGAAGGACAGACTTCCTCTAAAATGACAAGGGT